ATATTGAATTCAATGCGTATGGCTAAGTGTGCTGGCATTCAGAATTTCTTCAGCATATTTCTAATGGATGCTATACACCAAGAAAAGAACAAATCTCTAAACAATGATACATTTCTATGGAGGGAGAGGCCAAACACAGATTTCTAGGCCTCAGGACAGGGGAAAAGAAATAATCTCATCAGGAGTAATAGGAAGCCTGTTGTACCACTTATGAATTTTTGAAGCTTGGCTGTTTAATTCCATTGGTTTTGCTCCTTTCACATACCAAAGAGAGTCAGTGAGAGTGTCAGTGTCTAACTCTGGAATTTTATCAGGACAAGACCCAGTGAGTGCTGGCTGTGGCCATTCTCCAGCACAGGAACAAGAAAAACCTGGTTACTAAAGGACAGGGATCTACCAAGGAAACAAGAAGGATGTAACTCAGTGCTGCTGTTCCTCTTGCTGAAAGCTGTCTAGAAGACTTCACTCATTAACCTCACAACAGCTGGACTTGATGTAATGATGTTCCCAAATGGACCTTAGGAGACATCTAGTTTACAGAAAGACCTCAGTGTTGTTGGTTTACTGGAATAATACAGATAGATATACCAAGGACTGTCCTGAGGATGGTGGTTCCTGGGAAAGGATCTGCCAGGGAACTCAGGGCCAGTGAGTTCCAGCTGAGCAGTGAAAACCACCCTGGGTGACAGCACCCATTCCCAGAACACTGAGTGTAGGGCAGTTGTGCTGGTCTGCCTAGCAAAACACACAGAGAGAGACTGTAAAGCACAGAGTTGAAAGAGGAATGGCCCAGGAGAGCTGCAACAGCACAGGGATCAGGACTCATGGAAGCTTGAAGTTGTGCAAGAGTTTGTGAGCTGAAAAGGGGCTCAGAGAAGAGTTTGGTGGTGACATCTGCAGGAACAGGAGACTGGGGGAGTTTGAGTGTGCCCCAAATGAAGAGCACTCTCTCCCATACCCTAAGATCCTACCTGAGATCAACAGTAACAGGAACAAGACACCTCCATCCATCTCCAAGGAGAACCTTTTATCCCCATACTGTCCATGCTGTCCTTGTTGAGTGATTCCCTTCCTAAAAGGCACTGACAAAGAGCAGTTCAGTGCGGCAAAGGTTTGGAGGAGAAAGGAAAAGAGAGCACTTCCAGGTTCAGGAGCTTGTCTGATCTGGAAACTCTACTCATGGGATTCAACAGCAAGAATGTTGCAGCTGGATCAGTTCAAGGTAATAAGAAGAGAGATTTTTGGAAGTATTTAAAAATTAGGTAGATATGGTACTTAGGAACATGTTTTAGTGGTGGGCTTATTGTGCTGGCTTAGTGGTTAGACTTGATCATCATAGAAGTGTTTTCCAACACAAATCATTCAGGTGTGTTTCCTCAACGTCCTCCACTGGATCTGGAAGGAGAGAGACAGACCTGAGAAGGTTTTGGAAGTGCTTGTTTTGCAGCAGGACTATGGGAGCCTGAGGTAGCCAGGAAAAGGCTGGACTAAGACACCTGGGAGACTGCATGGAGCCTGTACCCACTGTCTGTGGGAAGATGTGTGAGAATCCACACTGAGGCTGGTGGGATGCTCTCTTCCCAAAGAGGAAGCTTCTTGCACCACATGCGACACCCCTGTGGGGCTGTCTCACTTCCGTGTGAGTGCCTCTCCTGTGCAGACACCTTTCCTGAGCAGCTCACGCTGAGTCCTCCTGGGGACTTCATGCCAGCATGGCCCTGCCAGCGCTGGCCCTGACATTCTTCCTGGCCCTTGCTCCTCTGCTGCTGGCATGGGGACAGATGCACCACGGTCCTGTGACTCCGCGGGTACACGAGGAAGCAGGTAAGAGCAGATTGTGCCTCTCTCTTACAAAAATGGTTTTGCTGCTCCTCTACTTGTGTATTTGCTACATGGCTTTACCCTGCTCAGCCCATAACTGAGCTGTGGGAGGGCTGGAGCTGGTATCTGCATATGTTCCTTCGTGTTGTGGTGGGACAAAGCTCTATTCGAGATGGAGGGCAGCAAGCCTTGGTGTGCTGGGAAACTTCCATGAGCGTGGGACTTGCAGTGTCCCTCTAGGAAGTGGGTAGTGTTGCTGGGAGCAGGAGGTGGCCGGGTCTTGTTATGCAGTAGACAGATGAATCCAGAGCAATCAGGGCAGTGATGGCCTTTCTGGGCAGCTCAAGCAGCACCCCTGTCACAGGCGATGATGGTGTTCATCAAAGATGTGATCTGTGAGCTCTGTTAGCTGGGATGCCTGCTCTCTCCCATAGTCCCTGGGGTTGAAGGAGCTGCAGTTTCGTGGGATTGCTCACATCAAGAGGCTTGTTCTGCTCTTTCTCCATGCAAACAGGGTTAGGAGCAGCTCCTCGGTCTCTGCTAGGCTCTTCCTACAAAGAATGTGGGCTTTCCTGTGGTGATTATGTGCTGTGACCTGGGCTTGCTGGTACCTGTCCATGGGGCACAGCATGGCTAGGGGACTTGAGCTGTGAGTATTCTCTCTGCAGGGAAATGGGAGCAGTGGCTAGCCAAATCATCAGATGGGTCATGAGTCATGCTGCCTATCACTGGTGGCTTCAGGGATGCTGCCCTTCCAGCAGTGGGCAGCTCTCAGCTTTCCAGGGCAGGATGGCACCTCCTCTCTCCTAGTCTGTACAAATGTCTGGGACTGACCCAAAAGGATGTCACCCTCGGCCAGGGTTACTTCAAGATGTTTAATGGCAGGAGGGGGGAAGGTGTGTGAGGGGGATGAGGCTGGGACCAAGTCAAGGGTTTCATGTCTGTCAGGTTGTTTTCTGTCAGTGAGGTGTGTGCTTTGAAGGCACTGGGAGAGACACTGTTGAGGGGGAGGAAGTTTCATGCATGCACTATGTGGTCTAAAAGGATGGGGCTGGTGACCACTGTCCTTTGGTGTGGAGAGCTGGGAAGAGGGTTGCCGTGATGGCGTGGAAACCTGCTGCCAGAAAAGGGAAGTGGTGAGTGCTGGCTGGCAGGAAGTGGGCAGCTGCAGCTGGAGAGAGGTATTTATCCTCCTTCAGGGAAGGCCAGCTCCATGCCCACTGCCTCCTCATGGACTTGTTTTGCACTAAGTGAGCAAGTCTAGGAGACATGTCTGCCAGGGCAGGACAAGGCAGACTCATTTTGGGTGAAGCAGACAGGTTAGGCTTAGCACATTGGGCAGGGTGTGAGATTTGTGGCCACTAGTGTGAACTTAGGTGGTCTGAGGGGCAGACTCTTGTTGAAAGCTTCTTTCACCCACTGTGGAAAAAAACTTATTAACACACAGAGTCAAGGTATTTTATTTATTTACAGCTCTGCACAGAAAAATGTGCTAGGTGGCAAATCCACATAACCAGCACACTGAGGCAGAAAAAAGCAGGTATACTGACAGAGATACAATCTTCTTACTGAAGTCACTGCTTGCCTGCGTTACTATGACTCATTCTTTCCCTTCTTCACTGTAAAAGCACTGTGTTCCAAGAAATCATGGTACATGCTAGGAGTGGTGGTCTTTTTGAGAGAAAGAGGCAAATGATGAACTGAGAACGTGGGATTTTTACTACAATTAAGAGCAAGTATTCATCACTAGGGTGATGAATAGTGTACAAAACTCATCAAAACTGGGTGTTTTCTAGCTCACAGGTAAACATCCTGGATGAGAAAGGTGTTATTTTTTTGTTTCTCCCCTTTCAAGGACTTACACGATTCATTTTCTGTCTGCCTCATTCCTGTAGTTACTGCTTCCACTGCAGAATTGCTTGATTTTTTCTCTTGCTATCTGCAACTTTACTCCTGTTATTCACCATTGCTGCTGGCAGACACTCTAAGGGACCAAGCTGCGGAGTCTGGAACAGCAGCAGAGACTCCCTGGGCCTGGTGCACTCCCACAGCGCCTGTATTTGTGGGAGAGAGCCGCATCCCCCAGGCTGCTGGACCCCTCTGGCTGGGGTGTCTCCACAGCAGCAGGTGGGCAGGATAACCCTGTGGATAACCCTCCTGCAGTGCCCCTGAGGCTGTGGGGGGGGATAAAGCATCTGGGGGATGGGGCTCATCCTGGGAGGTGCCATCTCTGCCAACCCCTCTGAAGAGAGAGAGATTGGCACCGCTCTGGATGGAACTCCCTCATCCTCATGGATGCTGCTGGAGCCCAATGATCCTCAGGCTCTGCCTCCTGGCCTTTGCACACAGGAAAATGTAAAATTCCCTCCGACTGGGACCCCAAACTGCGGTTTTACCCAGAGAAGAACAACAGCTATGCTTTGAACGAAGTGGTGCAGCTCAGCTGTGAAGGGAAGATTCCTGGGAAGTTTGCACCATCTGTGCCACAGATTCAATGCATTTCCAGGGGGGCCCAGATCCTGTGGAATGAGACTCCCACCTGCAAGGGTAAGCACAGCCCTGCACAGCCATGCACCAGGGTCCTGAGCTGGTGGCAGACGCTCTGTGACCTGGTCATGCACATGACAGTGCAGGAATGGCAGACCCGGATGCCTTGGCTTTCCCCCGTGTCCTGGCACTGACAAGGCTCTTTTCATCTCAGCACCTTGCTGCAGGCACCTGCTGGGGTCTCTGCTCCTGGGGAGAGGAATCCTTCCCAGACAGCATCTCCTGCCTCAGCATGAAGTAGGAATAGCTGCAGGTGTTCTGCTTTTTGCCTGGAAAGCTTCTCTATGGTTTGCGTTGTTTCTAGTGTGGGAGGCTGTTACTGCAGCCTGGCTCACCTGTGCCTGAGGGAGACAAGAAAATGGGGACTCAAATACCCCATGGAGGGGGCAGAATCCAGGGGAGGCTTGTGAGTCCTGGAGGTGGGGTGATGAGGAGCCCTGTGTGCTTGGAGAGTGCCTGGGCACATGAGACTCGTGTGTGTTGGGGTGAATAGTCAGAGTCATGAGAAACCTGTCCCAAGCCTCCTCTGATAACCTCCCAAAAGTACTTCTCATACAATTTTACCTCTGACAGAAACATGCCAAAGGCCTGCTTGGTGGGACCCCAGACTCCAGCTGGCACCAGCCCGTGACAGTTACACAGAGAATGAAGAAGTGACTCTGAGCTGCAACAGTGGTTTCCAGCCGTCCTTCACCCATGTCAAATGTGCAAACAGGGTTCAGCCATTGAATTATTCCATGTCCCTAAAGGAAAATGTGTGGCTGGGAAGAAACAGCAGTGGTGTGTGGATTCCGGTTCAGGAGAACATAGTGTGCATTGGTAAGCAGGGTGTCAGGAAGTGCTTCCTAATGAACTCTTGGTTAATCTCTGCCCCGTTCATCCAACTCTGATCTTCCATCATCACTGTGGCCAGGGATGCAATCCTGAAGCCATGTCAGGGTGGCTTGGATCTCAGGCATTTGGTACCTGAGACCATTCCCCAACTGAATTCTGGCACATCCTTGTCCACCACCTGCCTGGACAGGCCCCAGCTGACACCCACCCACAAGGAAAGCCCCATCCCAACCAGCCTTGCCAAGGTGTCCCATCAGAGCAGATGGACTTGTCAGCTTTCCTCTCCTTTCATTGGCTAGAGGGACTGCTGGGGATTGCTGAGTACCCACCACACACCCCGCTCCTCCTTGAAACCTCCCAGTCCAACTAACATGCACTTTCACCTCTGCCAGAAACATGCCAAAAGCCCTACTGGGATTCCAGACTCCAGCTGGCACCAGACTGGGAGAGTTACAGGAAAAATGAAGAAGTGATTCTGAGCTGTCCCAAGGGTTTCCAGGCACCCTTTACCCATGTCAAATGTACAGGAAAAGTTCTGTCTGTTATCAATGGAAAACCTATACACAGAGAAGCTTGGACTGGAAAGGACAGCACAGGCAATGTGACCAACATTCAGCCCAAGTTCAGGGTATAGTGCCTTGGTAAGGAGGCTTCAGGAGCATTCCTGACTGCCCTGCTCTGCCCTCCCTGAGCAGGGAAGGCAGCCTGTGGGGGCACAGGAAGCTGCTGGCTCTGTGCTGCCTGGGGAAATGGCAGGTGCTGCTGAAGACAGTGTCAAGGCAGCTCCCGAGTCTGCTCTGTGCCTGCCCTGGGGCTCCAGGGGTGCCCTGGTGGGGAGCTGGCTGATGCCAGCTTTAGTCCCTGGGGGCCCTGGCAGCAGGGAGTTTTGGTACAAAGGTCCCTCCCTTGATACCAAAGTAGCCATTTTGGCAGTAACCAGCACTGCCCATGGCACAGGAGGTCAGGGACCATGCAGGGCTTCAGGCTGTGCTCACAGGGGGCTGGGTGGTGTGTGGCACACACAGGTCTCCCTAAGGGCTTCTGGTAAGTGCATGTGCTGAAAAGTCAGGGCTACAGGTCGGACAGATGTTTGTGGCACAGGGAACAAGGGTAAGCATGTCCCCCTCCTCATGTGCTGGTTCCCCCTCCCTGGCCCTGCTGCATGCTGTCACTGCAGAGCCAGCTTTGGGGCTCAGACTTTTTGCCTTCTCAGGAGGAATCAGGGTGTTGCCATCCTGCCTGAGTGACAAACAGGGCGACAGAGTCTCTGGGCAGGCTTTGTGCACAGTACAAACCCCTCAGTCCCTGACTCCAGCTCCTCCTAGGCCTTTCCAGGAAACCTAGGGGAAGAAGTTTGGAGTCCTTCTTGTCCTCATCCTCTTGCCAAGAATTGGTGTGGAAGGCCTGCTCTGTGCAGTGTCCTGGAGCTCACCTCTTGCTCTGAGGGGCCAGGGAAGGGGATGCCCTGCTCCATGCCCTGCAGAGCCACACTGCCCAGCTAACACTTTCCCATCTTGTTGGTGCAGAGAAATGCCAGAAGCCCCAGTGGGACTCCAGGTTTATCTTTAACCAAGAAAAAGAGACCTTCAACCCAAATCAAGTGGTGAAGATACGGTGTCCTGAGGGGTACTGGCCTCCACTCATGGAGATCAAATGTGTAGCACTGAAGCCACGGGAAGGTTCCATGATTCCTCGTAGTGGCTGGAAAGTGAGGAGTGGCACAGACATCTGGCACCTTATGGAAGAGACCTTGACCTGTGTGGGTAAGTGAGCAAGCCAGACACTGTCCCAGTGCTCTCAGTCTGTCCTACCCAGGCATGGAGAGCAATTCTGCATGTGTGGCACAGCATCAGTGCCCCGTGCTCAGGGTGGTCAGGGCACAGAAGAGAATTCCATAGAAAATTCTGGAAACATCCCAGGTTTATGTCTGTGCTGTTGACAACTCTGGCACGTGTAGTCTGGGAGAAGGCAGAATGCCCTTGTCTACTCTGTGCTGGGGACAGGCAAGTGAGGGGATGCTGGGGTTGATGGAGCCTGGTGTCAGAGCTTGGAGGGGAGGGAGGGAATGATCCTCTTCGAATGTTCCCTTCACAGATGTCCGCCAGGTTTTCAATGGGACCCAGAAGGTTTCCAGCACCAGCATCAAACTGAACTGGATCTGCAGGTTCCCTCCTATGTGCCACCGTATTCGGGCCAGGTGCCGGATGGAGTTCCATTCCTCCTCAGACTGTGAGGCTGAGGACGTGAAGGTAGAGGAGATACTACAAGGCCACAAGGGAACATTCACCTGCTCCCCTCTGCAGCCCTTCACAGTCTACAGTGTCATCATCTCCCTGCTGCCTAACACAATCCTGTACACAGACCTCATCATGACAAAGGAAATGGGTATGTTTACAGGAAATGTCAGGATGCCCTTCACCCTGAAGCTCAGCCAGAGCATCTGCTCCCTGCTGTGATGGTCCTGGGGTCAGAGCTGCTTGCAGCCTGTGGAGATCTGGAGAAGGGGCTGTGCAGGACCCTACAGCAGGGCCTTCCCCCTCCTCACCACACCATTTTGGCTGCAGAGGCACAACAGCCTTTGTGGGGGACAAATAATCACTATCCAGGCATGATCCTGTTCCCCTGTGCTTCCAGTGCCAGACAAGCCAGAGAATCTGAGGATGGATTCCAAAACGGGGACCCTCAGGTGGGAGGCGCTGCCCTCCTGCAAAGGGGAGATCACTGGATACCAGGTACCAGGAGTCCATGGAGTGCCTGTAGTCCCCCTCACCTTGTCTGGAGCTCTGTGCAGACAGCCTGAGGAGAGGGAGGAGCCCTCCTTGGCCAGGGCCCACAGGCTGTGCCCTGTTGGTTTTGTTCTGGTAGGGGCAGGTCCCCTCTAGTGCCCAGCCCCTCTCCACAGAGCTGCCCAGTGCAGAAGCAGGATGTTGGTGCTATTGTCTAGCAGCTTCCTGTCCTTCCTCCAGCTGAACATCACCACCTTGAGAGTACAGGACGGCAGCTTCCTTGAATTCAGGCAGGTGTTGGTGAACCAGTCTGTCTCTGCATATGCACCACCTCATCAGACAGCTGGCAGCAAATACCTGGTGACAGTGCAGGGCCTGACGGCAGCTGGGGCTGGGGCTGCATCACAACTGGAATTTGAAGCCTACGTCCGGGGTAATGGTTGTTCTGCCCTTTGTCTGGTTGGGGTGGCCTCTCAGGGGGTGAGTGCTGAGTCTGGAGCAGCCTCCAGACCTGTGTGTGCACGCACCGTGTCCCAGCTCAGACAGGGGCAGGGAGTGTGGGCACCTGGCTCAGCAGTGAGCATGAAGCTGGGGGAGTCCTTCCTTGAGGGCTTTCATTGGCAGGTCTGCTTCAGCCACTGTGTGTGCCTTTGATACCAGACTGCCCCCTCTACTCTTCCACTGAAGAAGGTGACACCCATCCCTGCATTTGAGTGCACAGGTGGCTCAAGGTCAGAGAGCACTAGTGCTGCTGAGCCTGGGTGTGTGTTCTCCTGTAGTGTGCAGGATGGCTGAGCAGGCTGCCAGACGCTCCAGCTGGGGCCGTGGGACAAGGCCCTGTGCTCCAGAGCCTCTCTCTGCCCTGCCCAAGCAGAAATGCAGGCAGGGGAAGGCTTGCTGCCTATCCCTGCAGCAGCCAGGGCAGCAGGGTCTGGACACACATTTCTACACGTGCAGACACTCAGCAGCAAGGCTGGTGCACCAGTGCTGGTGCACGGCCCAGGCTGTGGCACCCACTGCTCTCTGTGTGTTAGTTTCAGGGCAGCCTCCGGGCCCTTGGCCTGGGTCAGCAGTCACTGTAGTGGTGGTGGTGGTGCTGTTGATCCCCTTGTCTGCTGGGATCATCTGGTTCATGCTGTTCAGGTGAGTTGCGTGAGATTTGGAGTCTCGGTTCTGTCTCAGGCCATGCTGTGTTGTGGGGTGGGTGGGGATAGAGAGGGTTCCCCAGATGCTCCCACCCTTCTCTGGGTGCAGAGGATGCAGCTGGCTGGTCCTAATACAAATTTGCTCTAGGGCTCCTAGGTGGGACTCTAAGTGTCTTTTTCAGGGCTGGGATGGGGCTGTGTGTGCTGAGGGACCCTCTCCCCTTGTTGCTGGTGCAGCTGCCACTGCTGTCCCCTGGGGTGCAGGTGGGCGATGCCTGCCAGGGCAGAGGGAGGGTGTACAGAGCCCTCCATGCCACTGCTGCTGGGTTCAGCAGGGTCTGGCCCAGGTCAGCCTCTCCCTGACTCAGGACTTCCCTTTGCCTTCCCAGAAAAAAGAAGGCCTTGCCCAGAAATGCTGAGGAGGATCAGTACACAGGTAGGATTCTCAGCACAGAGGGACTGTAGGGCTGGAGCTGGGAGGGGAGCAGGTGTATTTCAGGAGGGCCTAGTGGCATTCTGAGGTAGCTCCAGGCAGCCTCGCTGGCTTTGGCTGACCTGTCAGACCAACGTGTCCCACATCCACTCCCAGCTGAGACCCTGCTCAGTAGCCTCTTCCAGCAGCTCCTGGCTGCGGTGTCCCTGAGGTTCCAGTGAGGGCTGGGAACTGCTCCTCCTCACTCTCTCTGGAGCAGGCAGCAGCTCTTCCCAGCCCTGCTGTCCTGTTGGTGTGCATCCCAGGACAATCTGCTGCCCTTGGTGGCGCTGCCTGCCTGAGGCTGCTCTGCTCCTTCTCCCACAGCCCCCAGGTCCCTCAGGCTGTTTCTGTCCTCTTGTCCCCCCCAGATCTCCAGCCCTATGAGAATGTACACGGGGATAATTACTGCGTGATCGAGAATTTTCTTGAGAAGGATGCAGGTAGGAAATGGGTTGTCCTGCCTGTGAGGCCACATGGCACAGAGTGGAGACTGCCAGCTCTGATGGTGTGTCTGAGCTCCTCACGTTGCCGAGGGCACGCAGCAGCCTCTGCCCTGGGCTCTCTTGCTCTCCTCAGGTAAGTGTGGCCAGGATGGAGAGCCATTTCCCCACTCCCTGCTTGTTCATGAGACTCAGCAGTGAGGAAGAAGAGCAGCTGGAGTGGACATCTGAGGCACTTCCCTTCTCGAGGCTTGGTCCTCCACCACCAGAAGCATGACAATGAGTTATCCCATGAGTTATTGCTTCCCCCCAAAACTGTCTTCTTCATCAAGCTCCAGAATCCTCTGCCACAGCTTTAGGCATGGGACAACCTCCTCGTGACAGCAAGGATATGTCCTGGTAGTTTTCCAGTGCTCTGGCATAGCCATCTCACCAGCATCTTGGTGCCTGCAAATGTTCCCTGAGATTGGAGGAGCTCACAACTCCTCTTTCCAGGCTGTGTTCTTGTATCCATCTATACCCTGTCCTCTGCTTGAGGACTCTGCTTTGGCCTAGCTGTGCTGCCCTGGCCACTTTGCTGCTGTGTTTGAAAAAACCAATAAATTGTTGTGGTTTGCAGGGGCTGCCTGGCCCACAAAAGCTCCCATCTTGTCCTCCTTGTTTTGTATGTGAAAGCCTTGACCCCATGAATCTTCATGGAGGAGTTTGGAGTAGGCTTTTCCAGCCCCTGACAGCTCCAAGGAAACACACCTGAGTGCTGCATGCTCCCAGTGCAATGCTTTGGGTGGCTGCTTTCCCTCTTCCCCATCCTATCGGTAACACCATTTCCACTTGCATAGCTGGACCTCTGTGTTGGTCTGTGTCCTCCCCTGTGGGTGTTGGTGCTCATCTCCCATTTTGTGAGGTGCAGCTGGCACTGGCCCTCTTGGGACATCTGTGTCCTGCAGCCTTTGGGATCTGCTGGCTCTTGGCTGCTGCTGCTGTCCCATCCCTCCAACAGCCACTGTCTCCCATCCTGTGGGGTGCCAGTGCCCAATGCAGCCTGGATCCTGAGATTCCAAAGGCTCTCCTTGGTGAGGGCTGCACTGCTGGCAAATGGGGCAATCAACCTCTCTTTTTTCCAGCTCTGTGTGTTGCCTGTGATGATTCCATCTCCTTCTCCTGCCCTTGGGCACAGGGGCTCTCCTGAGCTCCCTGGACTCAGAGCCTATTGTGTCACAGACATATTTTATGAAAAATCCTTTTGCCAGGATCTTTTCTCCTGAGAAGCTGGGAAGCTTCAGCTTCTCCACATTTTGCTGCTTTGGAATGTAATTTGGAAAATTGTTTACCCAGCATGTGAAATTGTTTTTACTTGATGACCAATGACAACCACCTGTGTCGAGGCTGTGAGCAGTCACAAGATTTTATTATTCCTTTCTATTCCTTTTCAGCCTTCTGATGGATCCTTTCTCTCTATTTTTTTAGTACAGTTTTAGTATAGCATTATAATATAATATAATGAATATAATATAATGAATATAATATAATGAATAGAATAGAATAGAATAGAATAAAATAGAATAGAATAGAATAATATAATATATCAGCTTTCTGAAACATGGAGTCAAGATTCTCATCTCTTCTTTTGTCCTGGGACCCTCGAACACAATCACACTATTGCTGGTGCCTATTGTGCTTTTTACAGCCCTGAACACAGAGCTGTCATGGTTTTTTGCTTCAGTGTTGTCTCTCCCCTGTCAAACCTGCCAATACCCAGTGCAGCCTGGAGGCTGAGGGGCAGCCTGAAGGCTCTCCTTGTGGAGGAGTACACTGTCAGAACATAGAGCAATTGACCTGTCCCTTCTCCAGCTTCTTTTCAGCCTGGCATGTCTTGCATGTGCTGGTAAAGACATGTTTTGACAGTTCTTCATACGACCTGTCTGCCCATCAGCTCAGTACCTGCAACTGGCACCTGGGACCAAAATATCTCCTTCTTATGAACTGTTGCTGGTGTGACATGTCTGCCTGATGGAGCACTCCTTGTGGGTATTGGGCAGACAGGAGAAGAGAAATTCAATGCTGTGTGGGTGCTGCTGGTTGAGAAAGGGGAATGAGCAGGCTTGGGATAGCAAAGAAGAGTTGCCACCTCCTTGGCTACCCTGCTTCCCACTCCATCCCCCCATCCCTAGGCATACCCTGGGCTGTCAGCCTCATGACTCCATCTGCTCTGTCCGGACAGTCAGTAAAGGCTTGTGGTTTGGACAGTGCTACCTGCTGCCCCCAGCTCCTGCCTGGTCACCTCATTGCCCTTGTGAGGTGCTGTTCCCTGAGCTAACTGCACCTTGTTGAGGGGAGCCATGAGCAGGGCACCCTTTACCCTGGGCAGGAGTGTGTCCTGTGCATGTGCCACAAGCAAAGCTGAGGGACAAGTATGGTCTCTGGGCCTCTGCAGCCCCCCATGTCTGATCACCCAGCCTTCTGAAATCCGAGACATCCAAAGTGGATGGGAGGTTCTGGAGGAAGAGAAAAGCGGTGGCTGCTGATGAGCAAGAGGCATGGTTTAGTACTGTGAGTGTTTTCTCAAGCACACAGCTGGCACTGTAGGGCAGCATGTCCTGCACACTTGGGGACAGAGGAGAGTGCTGCCAGGCTGAGAGGGAGCAGGAGGAGGAGGCAGCTGAGGATAGAGAAGCGGGGAAGGATGAGAGAGGGTGTGGGTTGAGTGTTTCTTTCAGAAGGGCCACAGACTGTTTCAGGCACTGAAGTACTCCTTGTAGTTCATGTCCCCATTCCTATCTGTGCTTCTGACCAGTCTTTATGTAGTTTCCCAAAAGTCCTCCATCTCCTGTGATCATTGAGGGGAAGTGACTCATCACCACTCTAAAACCCACACAGTGTCAGGAGGCACTTGGCTATTACCTCAGTAACAGGAGTAACACTCTTGCATGCCCTAATAACTAGGAGGGTTTTGGGAGGAAACTCTGGGATCTGGTGACAAGGTTCCTTCTCTGTTGAGTCCCAGAGCCTGGATGCTCCTGGGGCAAAAAGATATCAAAAGGCAGAAGTGTTGACAGGGATGGGAGGTTCCCTGCCTGAAGAGGAAGCTCCTACATCTTATGAGGAGATGTCTGTTTCCTTCCTGTGGTTGCAAGCCCTGCAGTCAGATACGGATGCCTGGGCTCAGAGGCAGCGAGTGGGGCTGAGATTTCAGTCCTGCCTGGGGACTTCAGGCTAGGATGGCCCTGCAGTCACTGCCTCTCAGGTTTCTCCTGGCCCTTGCATCTCTACTGTCAGCACATGGCCAGGATGATTTTTTCAGCATCCAGATAGTGCCCCAGGGAACAGGTAAGAAGTGCTTCTTCCTCTTGGAAGCTTCTGCTGCCTTTCCTCCTCTGTGGTGGATATTCATCTTCACTGCCTGCAGCCCTGGGCTGGAACTCAGACAGACCCCTGAGGGCCGTGTCAGCTGAGGCAGCCTTTGTCTGCCCCAGGGACAGGAGCTACAATGCAGTGTGCACTGGGGTTCTGTGGGACAGACAGCACAGGGCTTGATGTGCAGTGATGCTCTCCAGAAAAGCAGTTTGCCAATCATTCCCTGGAGAGAGTGGGTATGAATTGGCCATGAGGTCACCCACTGTGAATCAGGGGAAGGGTCTTGAGGGAGGTGTCACTTTCATCCTAACCCCAGGTGTGCCTGAGGGACACTGTGCCTGCTGAGGGCAGTGCAAGAGGGAGCTTGCTGCTGCTTTGCCAGACAGATGGATTGGGGCAGGATCAGTGGCTGGGTGCCTGAGTATGGGGTGGGTCATGGCTGTGTGCCAGGGGACAAAGCTGCTGGTTGTGGTGCTCAGCTGGGCATCTCTGGTCTTCTGCCATCAGGGCTGTTTGAGAGCAAAGCCTCTGCACAAGGGCTTGTCACAGCACTTCCCTCTGTGGCAAACTTGGTCTGCACCTTGGCAGATCCCTTGTGTGCCCCTTTGGAAGAAGGCAGATTGTCTTTTAAACCCCTCCAGGCCTCACAAACCTTCTTGCAGAGGCTTGAACAGACAAGGGCTCCTTCCACAAGCCAGCACCGTTCTCTGCAGGAATCACTGCCACAAAGCCTCCCCTGCAGCACTGGACAAAGTGCTGGGACCAGCTGCTCAGCTACTGCCTACTGAGCTGGAGGGTGGTGAATCTGGGGGGGAGGTGATGAGAAGAGGGAAGGGTTGTGTCAGGAGAAAGGGGCAGGGGCATTGGTAAAGCAGGAGATGGGAATGCAGAAGGCACTGCTCAGCCCCTGTCCCCCTGCCCAGCGGTGTGGGGCAGGAGGAGAGCAGCCCAGGCACCGAGTGAGGGAGAACAGGGAGCCCCCGAGGGTAACAGGGGCATGGCTGATCCCTGTGGGAGGGATGAGCCATGGCTGAAGGGCCCTGCATGCCAGCAGGAGTGGTGCTGCCATGGCCCAGCAAATGCCACCTCAGCTGG